AGATTCACATGTACGCTTACAGGATGAACCATAGGCGTGATCCCACCAGCTTCTACACACCTTTCTTTTAAGGAATATATCTATTGCTTCTCTGTGTTTTAATGTGTAATTATTACCAAAGCCTGTCATAAAATACAATAATCTACTGCTCTGGAGGGTTGGTACATCATTCTTTTTTGTTTTAAAGTAAAGAAAAATCTTTAAAATGTTTCCTTAGACTGATGCGATCTGTTCTAATTTAAAAGGAAGAAATTAAAGAATGCTGGGTAGGCAGGTGTATTTGCTACCCGGTGTGTAGTAGCACTGTTCAGATGTGCTCTGATGACCACCCACCACCAAGGGAGCATGTGCCAAACTCACACTCCATCCTGACCTAGACTCTCTGCAGGTGACACCCAGGTGAACTCTAAATTTTGAGAAGAAAGGTCTTCTTGATTGAAAAAATTAAAAATGAAAGTTTATTTGAATTTTAAGAGATCTCCTCCTTATGTGGAACTATATAACCCAATAAGTTAAAGACAAAGTCAGCACTTATTTATCTACTTAATAAGTATATGTTGATATTTACTATATTTTTAGAAACCACCAAAGAATGCAGTTAATAACATGAAAAAAATCTTACAAATATATATTTCATAAATAACAGGATACAGCCAAACGTGAATGCATGCCAATATAATTCTATTTATGCTAAAGGCATAAAAAGGGGGTGTATGTGTTTCTGCCCCCATAGTATCTGAAACCATATCTTTCTCTGAAGAATGGGAAGTCTATCTCTTTTACTTTTCACTTCAAATTTTGCTTTCTTTTTTGTTACTAAATCATAACTGTGTACATTTATGGGATACAATGTGCTGATTTGATATACACTGTGAAATGCTTAAATCAGACTGATTAATATAGCCATCATCTCCCTTAGTTATTTGTGGTAAGATATTTATACTATATTCTTAGCAGTTTTGAAATGTACCATTGCATTGTGCGCAGTTGGTGAAGTCCCACCAAGTACCCTCTCTCTTCTCCCTCTCGCCTCTCCCCTCCTCTCTCCCTCTTCTCTCCTCCTTCTTTCTGGACTATAGTTGTGTTTTATCATTCGTATGAATGTGTGGGTGATGATATATTGGTTTCATAATAGTATTGAGTACACTGGATACTTTTTTTTTCCATTATTGAGATACTTTACTAAAAAGAATATGTTTCAGTTCCATCCAGGTAAACACAAAAGTTGTAAAGGCTCCATCCTTTTTATGGCTGCAATAATATTGCACGGTATACATACACAACAGTTTGTTTTTAATTGTGTGTATGTGTGTGTGTGGTAGTTGTTCTTTCATTACAGGGCATATATTATATCAGTAACTCATAAAATGTTAAATACATATCTTTGGCCTCATGACCAGATAACCAAATTGCAATGTTCAATAAGAGTACTAATAATTGGTAATGTTTTAACAACACCATAAGAACAACTACGACAAAAGCTCCCCAGACAATTGTGACCAGCCTACTGGAAACTAGTGCTCTAATCTAATAAAGTATTAACTCAGCCTTAGGAGATTTTTAATACCCTCACAATTTCATATCATTATTTGGGAGCCAAAGTATTCTTACAAAGTTTTATAACCACAGAAAACAAAATGTACACTATGATAAAAAAAAAATCATTAAGGATGCTCATTTCCAATATCACAGTCCCTTTCAGAACAAGAGTTTTGTTCTTCTGCTAAGAAAATTACTTCAGACTAACTTTGGGCTCTAATTTCCAGAAAAGTGTCTTCCAAACTTCCAACACATCATCCTTCAAGCAGCTGTTATACCACAATATTTATTGTACTCTATGAACCTTGATTTATAAAATGGACCACAGAAAAATTGAGAATGAACTATTTTACATCAAAATTTTACTGTACCAGAAACCTTAGTGCTTTTCATCTTAGCACTGGTTTCTCATGAAAATGCCCAAGATAATCTCAACCTAATGGCTGACTCTGTTCTCCATCTTTAATCATGTTTTTCTAACTTAAGTAAATTTAAGTAGCAAACGAAGCTTTGAAGTGAGTACACATATTGCCGGTCTCACTAACCCAAATAACCATCCATTTAATTCTGGATCCTCCACTTACACCAGCTCTAAAACATTTAATTTACATTACGTTTTTAGCATCTTCGTTTTTTCACCTATAAAATAGAATAATAATGGAACCAAACTCATAGTGGTATTGTAAGATGAACAGGTAAATTTTCAGAAAAGTACTTAATATAATATCTAGTGATGCTGAGTAATAAGCTTGTATCTATAACCATTAGTCTGAGCTCTCAAGACATAGAGTCTTAGCAATGAAAGCTCACAGTTCAAATCCGGATTTGACTTTGAACTTGTGCTATTTATTTATTGCCTCCCTTGAAGCAAGCATTTACCCAACACACGTTAACTCAATGTTATCTGGGTATACAGCACCAGTCCAGTGCAAATGAAAGGATTAAAGAGCAAGGCTTCTTTCCTCTAGCTCAGATTTTGGAAGAGAACATGGGAAAGCCACGTAAATATTAAGTAGAAGCCATTGCTGTAAGAGGCAGGTAAATGGGGATTTAGAAGAGATAATAGTTAATTCCAGTTGATGGGTAGAGCAGGCCTGAAGCTGAGGGGATCAGATATTCATGACATAGGGCTCGGGCCAACTATATAAATGGTGACACTCAGCAGAGCATAGCAACAATGGAAGAATTTGACCTCAGGGGGAAGCTTCTGACTCCACATGCTGTAAGATCTCCTTCCCTACTGAAATGTTCAAGGTGAAGGTTTCAGAAACACTATCATCAAATATACATCTCTGTAAACATTAGGGTTTTCCTTCCTTCTGGGCCCTGAAGAGAAGAATTGAAATACCTAATTCAAATATCTGAGCCTAGGATTCCATGAAGCAATGTCAGGGGAACAGCATCACATGGTTTTACAGCAGGAAAGCTCCAGTCTAATCTGGCCAGGTTACTACTGGGGAAAAGGCGACTCTGCTCCGTCATGATGATTAGGTAGCCAAGGAGAGAAAAATCTGTTGGCATCTTCCCAAAGCACAGTGCGCAGATGGCCATGGGCACAAAGAACGTGGTGACAATTGGCACTTCACTGGGATGCTCTGAGCATGGAAGGGACTTGGAAAAAGTCCTTCTTTGGCTGCCCTTCCTTCTGAGGCATATTGGTGGCACAGGATGAGGAAAACTGCCTGACTGCTGCCAAGGGGAAAGGAGATGGCCTTTAAAATCTAGGCTACTGCAGCCTCCTGGGTAGTCAATCTGGTACCTTTCAGCAACCAGAGAACACCTTAAAGATGTGTGTGCTGATTTCCTCTAGGACAGATGATATCCAATAAGATTCTATTCAAAGTTGGCTCAAAGATAATATTATAACAAGCCAGCTCCAGTGCGGTAGAGGGGTCTGAGACCTCTGAAGCCAGACCTCATATGTCAGGTCTCTGGCATGGGGTTATTTGTTTTAAAATTCTTACGTGGATGACATATTAACAAAGTGCATGTGTGCCTAGGTTAAGTGCAGGTCGGCTGTTTGAAGGGCTATTGCCAGTAACAATTTAGACTTTTCAGAGGCTTCCTTTGGGAATTTTTAAAAAGTTGAAGTAGATCAATTTCCTTTCTGAAATTTATGATCTTATTCTATTTATGCTATTGCACAACACTTTACAGAGATAGCTTACCCAACTAGCGTCAATACACTTATCTACGACATCACAGCAGACACACACGCACACTGAGGCTAATCCTAACTTGCCTGGGAGTAGCCTTCTCTGAGTCAACAGCAAATAAAATATAGTACTGAACTGCTGGCCTGTACCCCCCCCAAATCATCAACTAAATTTCAATAATAAGGACATATGACTTTCAAAAACCGATACGATATGAGATAGACATTATTCTACCATGAACTACATTTACGTAACATTTGGCTACTTCGCACTTTTAAATAAGTTTTATGTATAGTTGAGAACTAGCCTTCCCTGAAAAAACAAAAACAAAATAGCATGGCAAATGTGCCCAAGTCTCCTTGGCTTACATTATTCTTTAAATAAATTAGACTCTGATGTTTTATAAGAATCAAGTTTTAGAGCAACAAATAAAGTAAGTGATAAGGGATTGGTGTAAGGGCAGATGAAGTTTGGTTTGAGAAATAAAAAGTCAACAAATGCAGGTATTTATGCAGTTACTTTTCAAAAGCATATGAACAAAAATTGTTCCGCTAGGAAAGTAAGTAAAATTGCTAGAAAGGTATTATCATGTCTGTAACAGGGAAAGGACTTTTACTCAACTCCTAAGGCAACTTCTCAGAGAGTAGTAGCTTGTGACCACTCAGCATGGCCCAGGGCCTTGGTTCTACAGCCTTCCCTCCACAGCATCAGTAGAAGATAAGGGAGTCTGTGGTCCTCCATCAGACTGGCCAGGATTGCCTATGCAGACTCAACTCTTCCTATGGGCAAGCCCCAAATCACAGATTTGATGAGAATAGGATCTGTTAAGTCTCAGATTCCACCTTTCTAAATTCTTTAAGGTTAACTACACCTTTCCCCCATCCCTGTAAACTTAATGGAACTAAGAAGTCGACCTCAGGATGCTACTTAAGGGGCTGACTTTTGGTTTCACGCATATTTCCTTTGACAATTTATGACACAGAGTTGGTTAATATGAAATGGGGTTTGCCTAAATAGGAAATGTGCCTAAACCTAGCAGAAAAATATGACCGAAAGTATTAACAACTAAGTTTGGGTTCATTTTAATATGATCTCTTTGAAATAAGTTTTTCGATTTTTAAATCATCACATCCAACTTGTTGGGCGAGTTGAGTAACGTAAAATCTTCCTCAGAATAAAGAGGAAACTTCATTTCCAGTAAACTCTTTCTCCCAAGTAACACAGAACATGCTATAAAGAAGCACACACACACACACCCCATGTTAAAGCACATTAGCTCACAATGTAGCATTTAAATATGAGTACCTCCAGCCAAGATCTTCTCTTCCAACTCCGCCATTTGCTTTTTATAGGCCCTCAAAGCTGCTTCCTTGAAAGAGGGACGAATTCTCTTTGGCTTTGTGATTTCCACTGGCTGTTCAGGAATATTTTGGTTTTCATCTTCTTTTATTTCCATTTCAGTTGATGTTTCAGTCAAGGGTTCCAATCCACCTTCACTGACCACATCATCTGCCTGCCCCTCATAACCCTCATCTTGTGGGGTTTCATAAAGTGTTTCATACGAAGGGTGATCATATTCCTGCATTTGTTCATCTGTTTCAGTAATACTAGTCCTGTTTTCCAGCTTAGCGAGGACTTGTTCCATCACTTCAACATAGTCTGTTTCATTATCAGCCACTGGCTCACTATAATCCTCCTCGTCCTCTGCTTTGTAGTAATAGGGTTCCGTGTAGACATCAGAGTCAAGGGTGGTACTTGATTCATTCGCAGTTGATTGAGATAATGTCCGAAATCTCCCCATCAAGGAGGAGCCACTGTCCTCATACCCACTGAGACTCTGTGTGCTTTTGTTCCATACTACTTCCAAGGCTGATTTAGCCCTCTCAGTGTAGATCCAAACTTGGGGAAGCTGAAAGTCTTATCAGAAAGGTCAATGCTTAATCGACTATGCCATGACTTGGGTGGGGCATACTCTGAATCATCACTTTGCAATTCACTTTGACTTCGGTATATCATGGACAACTGGTTTTGATTCTGGTACAGCTCATTAGAATTAGATTCTTGATAAGAATCATATTGGCCAAGCCACTGGCCTCGTGGTTCATTATCCAACCCAGGGCATGGAGATGAGTTGTCATCTTGGGTTAAATCATAGCTCTCGGAGTCATCTTGAAGGTCACTGTGGCACTTCCCCAAGTATTCTAGGTCTTTACTGTAAACATCCAGGTGTTGGTCGGAAAGACTGTTTGTGTCATAGTCAAAAGCTTCCTGGGTAGATGAATCCAAGCCTAAGTCAGGTCCCTTCTCTACTTGATTCCATTCCTTCCATGGAGAAAGATCTTCATGCAAAGAGAGCTGAGAATCACTGTAATGACTTTGGTCTCCGGAGGCACATACCATGCCATTGCTCATTCCGCTATCCACCGTCTCTGTGTTTTCAATTTCACTCTGCCCTTGGACACCCTGAACACTCGCACTTAAACGCTGATCCTGAGGGCTGTCATACAAGGTAGGTGTGGTCTCCTGTTTCCTCTGCCATAGTTCCCGGTCTGAAGATGACAGGAGGGAGCTTCCATTAGTTCTAATGAAAAACTGATTCTCTGAAAAATCCTCTGAGTAAGACTGACACAATTTGGAAAAATCTGACTCAGAACGACTAAGTTTAGCAGTGAAAAAATCACTCTGTGAATGCCAGAGAGGTGTCGCATCAGCATAATGGGTTGTGGTTTGCTTTTCCACAATATCTGATTCTGGCAATTGCGAGGAAGTTTTATCATAATTTGACTTATTTGAAATTCTGTTGCTATTAGCTGTTTTATTCTTAGATCTAGCACTGTGAGATTTTGAGCTTGATCTGGAATTACTTCCCTTTGTTGGAAACTCTGACTTGGAAAGCACAGCGTAGCTGTTCCTATTGAGGTCAGATTCTAGCTCTCCATCACTGTCATCGGGGGACCGCCAATTGTTCTTCTTGCTTTTGGGCTCTGGAGTCGAAAACTTGATATCCATGCTTTCATAGGTCTGTGAGGATGGTATGCCTTTTTCTTTTCTTTCTCTGATATCATGAGTCAGAATATCTGTAGAGACTCCGATGCCTGTTCCTTTGAGTTTATATGATTTTTTTAAGACAGAGTCCCTTTGTTGAGGGGTATCAAAGTACACAAGTATAGGTCGAGGCTTTGCATTCGGGCAGTCCCTTTGATGTCCTATCCTCTGAGCAAATTCAATTTTAATAGCATTCGGTGCATCTGAAAAACCCATTTTATCGATCAGAATTTGGTACACCACACTCTCAACATATTCAAATCTCTCTTCAGGCACATTTAAAAATCTCAGGCTTGCCTTGCTACCCATATGACCTAAGTGTTTAATATAATCATGGATGTCTCTGGTTTCCCTCCGAGACTGGACGAAGCCTGTGCGTAGCTGTTCAATTTCACTCTGCACAACCTCCACGCTGCTGGAGATCTCATCTATGGAGTGCTTGAGAGCATTGACATGCCCTCGCAGCTCAGAAAGTTCTGTTTCAATCTGACTTATTCCCTGAAGTTCCTTAAAGATCATTTCCATGACATCATGTGTTTGGCTAATACAGCCAGAGGAGCTGAATCCTGGCTCCAGAGTACTCGTCTTTGGATTTCGGGCAGTTCTGTCCAAAGACTTGCTTCGTATTCCCCAGGTTTTCTTCATGGTGCTCAACTCTGAATCAGAGGAGACACACTCTTGACTCTTTTTCCATTTCCTCAGTTTTCTCAAAGCTCCTAGTTTCAAGCTGTGTAGAGTGCGCTCCCCGTCAGAGCTGCCCTCAGAGGGGGCGAGGCTGCTGGAACTCTTTCTATTGCGTCTGACCGGCATCGTGTGTGTTGACTGAACCTGGTTTTCTGTACTACTCCTTAGTTCATTCAACGATCCCGAGTAGGAACTTTCAATCGAAGACAGCTCTGGTAACAAATCCTCATTATCACCGTTGGTTACATTAATATTTTTTTGGAGGCCGTTGGCAATAGCGACACGGTAACTGAATGTTGGCGAGAGGGAAAACTCTTTATTATCTGGGTCTTCTTCGGTGGATAAGTTGCGAGTGGACGAACACTGGGCAAGTTTCTTTACGGTGCTTTTGAAGGTATTAGAAATTGTGGGGGGTTTGGCCTGGCCAGCAGTCGGACAGTCTTGATCGTTTTTCTGCTGACGATTCTCTTTTTTTTTGTTTGTATTTCCCGATTTCTTTGTAAACATTCCTTTGCAAAGCTTATGGATGTAAGGTAAAATCAAGCTCTTGAAAAAATGAGCCACCATGGAGGGTAATTAGTAGGAGCTTTTCTGCCCTGAAGAAGTAAACAAGGGAACAGGATAAATATCTGAAAATCCAAGGCAAGCATCACTGTTCAGATATTCTGGGGAGCGCTGACAAAAGAAGACGTGGCTGTGCCACAGTGTCACTGTCTGTGGAAAGCAGAAGGGAAGATCCATCTATGAAAGACATTCTTTCCTGGAGAAGGGTTCTTGTGAATCTCTCTCATTTCCATACAACTCCATGTAGTACCTAAAAAAAAAAAA